AGGATAAAAGCCAGCCAAAACCGCTTATGGAAGCCGGATTTGCCGGACAAAAACCGGCTATCTCCCCTAACGAAGCTGGAGGATACCGGGCAAAAGCCCAAATCACTTGGGACGGCTAAACGTCGGATAAACATCCGATCGGCAACAGCAAGAAGTGTTTCTCTCTCTAAAGGATACGGGAGAGAGAAGAGAGAGAAAACTTCTATTAGATGTTGTCTATTAAGTCCGTCTCATATCTTATATGTTTAATTGAATTATAAACAATTTAATAAATTTTAATCCAATTAAACATTAATTATTCAGAAAATTAATTTTAATTATATTTCAATAGTTCTAATCATATTAGAATATAAATTCTAAAGATTCAGAAAAGAATCAAAGACTCCTGTTAACGAATTTGCCGTAATGACTTTCATTACCCAAACACGAGTCAACATTAACACAAAATTTATATCTCATATATTTTATGTTATATTTTATATATCTCATATATATCATTTAAACAATAAATCACTTATACATATCTAATATGTACGACTATCAATTTGTAAATCATTCTCAATCATATTAAAACGATTTAAACACAAATAGATTATTTTAATCGAATTAAGTTTGTGGAAATTTAACTCACCAAGTCTCTGTGTTCGCCGAACATACAGAGCACACTACTCGATGAACAATTAAATTAAATAGTGCTATCGTTGTCCTTTCTGGTTAACAACAGACATTTAATATATATTTATTTAAAAAATCCAACACAACAAGCATTACCATAATGCACATAATACACGTATGAATTCAATAACACGTACATCGAGTTAATAGATATATCTCATATATTTATTTCAAAGTCAAACATACGTATACGAACATAATTTAACAAGATGACAAAAGCATATCTATATATACTTAGATCAATTTAATATTCATCACAAAACTATGATAACGAAATTGCATACTACAGATTTCTTTTTCCGATTAACAATTAATCAATTATTACAATAAGGATCGATGAACGAAACCAAATTATTTTGTATATCACATATATACATTAAAATAGATTCAATTTCAAAATTATACACGTATGCTCTGATACCACTGTTGTAATTTGTACCGGTTTATAACGATTTATAAAACTAATCACAAATTTAATTGCCAGGATTCGTATAAATATTGAATCAAATCTATGTCATCAGTTTATGAATATACCTGGTTAATTTGCAGCGGAAAGATGAACTAAAATAAACCGAGGTTGTAAAGCACTCCAAACGTTGTGTCTCTACTGGTATCCACACGCACACAAACTGAATCGATACGGGATGCTAGTGCCGTTGAAATCTTATTTCAAAGTTTGAAGAACAATTCTTCTTTAGGTTATACGTCTCTTTGTTTTACTAACATTTTTGAGGATTCTCGTCCCTTATCATAAGCTACTATAGGTATATATATATATATGAATACACGTGACCTAACTTAATTAGGTTAGCTTTAATAATAATGACATTCATTATTATACACATTACCTAAGTTGGATTATGGACTTACGAAAGACACATACCTAACATAATTAGGTAAGTCCTATAATAATAATGACATTCATTATTAATCTAAAGTAAGTTATAATTCTTCTCACGCGTGCATATATATATACACATATTATATCATATATAATATTAAGTATGAAACCTAATGTATTATTGATTTTGTTTGCTTAGGTGTGTGACCCTGTAGGATCATATAATATTAGCAATAGATTCTCAATCCATAGATCATAAGCGGTTTCTAGTAAAACATTATAACCACCTAATAGTATATGATTGTCAAAACCTCAACGTTATGACTCTAACAAGAGTAAGTACAAATGATTTCAGGACATTCCCAACAGTTACGTCTCTCATTGGACAAAAAATAAAATTATGTACAGTATTTAATAAAATTTGGAGTTGTTTAGGGCTGTTTTTGATTTGCTTAAAGTTAAAGTTGAGCTACTGAGGTAACTTTTATTACTATTATAATTCTCCAAACCGAATACATATAAAAATTGCATAACCTTTCCACAAATAAGGAAGGATCCACTCAACGCAACTAATTTGCGTCGCGATGTAATTGGTTGATTATACCCAGATAGGCTGTTAGATAATTGGTTGATTTTACCCCTACTATCATGGCCAAATACCAACATTGCCACTAAATTTCTTTATCTAGTTTTTAACTTTTTATAAATTTTTAAACTCGTTTCCACAGAGACTTAGAAAGTCTCATATTCTTTTTCCGTATGAAGTATGAACAAAGAAAACACCGTGCGCGATTCTAGGGTTTCTCAAACGGCGCTCCGGCACACACCGCCATTTCTATTCCTTTTTTTTTTTTGTTTCTGCAAAAAGCAAAAATGGTAAGCCATCACTCTGAAGCTAAGAACAACGAACAAGAATCGCTCATTTTGGTAAGCCACATCTTCGACCTTCCACTTTTTGTTTCTTAAAGATTATTGAAATTTCGTTCCTTCTTGGTGATATTCACAGCTGGATTTAGTTTGCGTGTAGCCTTTAGAGATGGATTTTCAGCTGATGGATTGTCATACATAAGCAAATCGTTATTTAGGCTAGATATTATTAATCAAAGAGATGTACATTAGTAATCAAGAAAAATAATAGTAATGAAGAAAAAATATTAGTAATTAAATCAACTCTTAAAATAATAGTAATCAAGAAAAATTTTCATTTTACTAAATAAAATTAGTTTTCAGATGATCGATTAAATTTGTTTTCTTCAAATTGATCTGCTCATATAATCACAAGCCGTGCGGATGGTGTACATGTTGAATCACATTAAATACAATACGTGAAGAGAGTTTTAGTGATTTGTGCATGTTGCACACTGATCGAGAGTCATCTATTCGTCCCGGATTCTCCACTGGATCGGAGGGAATCCGGAAGTTGTTTGCAGCTGTATCTTTTCACCAATTCTCCAAGATTTTGGAAGCATGTCGAAGAAAGAAACCGGTTTTTGGTGATGCTATGTTGTGGTCAACCGTAAAACTGCAACATTTCAAAGCAACAATGGTTGGTAAATTTATGAAGAATCCTTCATGGATGTACAAGAAAGAAGCACTTCACGGTGAACACTGCTGCTTTAAGAATTTCACACTTGACAGGGAGCATTTTTGCCTCCGGAGTTGGTTTGGGTATCCTCTCCATACAGGTTGGACATTTCTTCTTTGGAAAAAAGGATTCGACCCCTCCAAGTTCTGAATCGGAGCCTGTGAATGAGAAAGCCGGAAAATTCACGATAGAAAAACTATTAGGTAAGTAATAAAATTATTGTTTACTATGACGAAACCCGTGCTACGCTGCAGGTATTTTTTAAAGTAATATTTTTTATTAGAAATATAAATTGTAATAATCAAATCAAATTGTATGTATGTAACTTTCTTAAGTGAAATGTACCTAAATCATCGAATATTACCTGAATTTACAGATTAATATGAATTTTAATAACTTTGTATTATAAAAACCATAATATAAGATTAATCCTCACCTTCTGGTTGTGTTCGAGATTCTGATCGGAACAGAGAAGTCTGGTGCGAAAGTAAAAAAAAAACCTAGAGAAAGTAGGCACGAGACTTACCGGTTTTCTTATTTACCGATGTTCCGGTTCAGCTCCCGATTATAATCGACTTCATCATTTACCAATATACCATTCACGCTGATTTGATATAGTAGTAGGATATGTAAGCCCGCGGGCCTTTAGACTTAGCCCAAATATATTGTAATAGTTTGGGCACATGAGCCGTGTAATTTTTGTTGAGCCGTAAAACTTTTTGGTCATGGTCTTATATATTTTAAAGAAATCAAAACGGAAAAAGATATGGGACCAGAAAGAAACCATTCAAACGATAAAAGCCAGCTGTTTTCGAGTACAAAAAGAAAACAAGATTCATATCAATTAACGATGGAACGTTAATGGCAGCTACATCAGCGTTTTAGAAACTTCGAGAGGCAGTCAATATTGATAAAATGTATTGAGTCTTATCCTCTTATTATTTATGCTTTGTGGTCTGCTCTATTATCAATGAGAATTTTCTTCTTATGTAGAATTTATTAGAACTATATTTATATATAATTTTAGTTAAACTTAAAAAAATAAAAATTAAAAATGATAATTTTGACCGGTAATCCGTGCAACGTACGGGTCCATATCTAGTCATTGATAAAAGCCAGCTGTTTTCGAGTACAAAAAGAAAACAAGATTCATATCAATTAACGATGGAACGTTAATGGCAGCTACATCAGCGTTTTAGAAACTTCGAGAGGCAGTCAATACTGATAAACAGTATCAGTCTTATCCTCTTATTATTCATGCTTTGTGGTCTGCTCTATTATCAATGAGAATTTTCTTCTTTTGTAGAATTTGTCATGGATTAACCAACATAAAGTGAATAAGACCAAATCAGTGAAAAGTAAGCAATCTAACAGGGACATATCACTAATGTGTACCAGAAAACTCAGCCAGTTTCCAGAAATGTGATGGGTTCTAACTAAACTATAAGAGTGATCATAAAGATATGGAAGTTGTAAAAAAATATAAAAAAAAAATTGAAAAAAAAATAATAAAGATATGGAAGTTGTAGAACAATAGTATTAGTCAGGTAGCATCAAAACTCAAAAGTAAGACTTTACAATATGTGTGGTGAAGTTAATGCGAATGGCAATCATTTAATTAAGTATCAACTCAAAAGATAATGATGACTTCTCACCGCACATCTTCAGGACCATAGAAATCCTCCAAGATACTAACAACTTCTAGGTATAACGTATAAGGGCTCTGCTTTGTCGAATTCTTTCTTGACTCTATATACCTATCCCTTACATAAAGGAAGGAAAAAATAGAGCAATTGGTCTAAGAAAACAAGTGTTGAAAAGCAGAGAACTGTAAGAATGAATATTTTAGGAAGAGATGACTTTCCCAAATAAGAATGGAGCTTCTCAAAAAGAAATTGATCATGAAACCATTGTGCTAAAATATATATAGATATGAACATACAAAGAAATTGTAAATTAATAAGGATATGTCTATATTCCTCAGCCAGAAAACAGTTAAATACTTACCCTAGGACTATACTCAAGATGCTGATATGAAACTATAATCCAAGGAACTATGAAAGCTGAAAAAAGCCCACCGAGACCAACCAGATTGTTACATGCAGGGGCAACATGTGGATCCTTCTCTCCAAAACCTTCCTTAGCTTCCTGTATTACCGAACCGAAAAGCCTCTCAGCCGGCTCCAGTTTCCCCTATAAGATAGAGCAAATTATCTAGCAAGACAAAATATAGCTTGTAAAAGAAAAAGAAAAAAAGGAACACATATTGAGCTTCATTGTTTCAAACATCAACCTGAAAGAAATAATCTCTTCCACTTCAGTAAACACCATCCCACTTAGATGTGTGAATATTAGATACAACCGCACCATCCTCAATTTTTTCTAGCCCACTATTGCCACCCTCATCCTTATTATCTCCAGATTTTGACTTATTAGACTCATCCACTACCAATACAGTGTTCCCAGAAAACACAATAGGATTGCTAAAAAACGAGGAACCATATCAAATACAAAACAAGAGTGAGAAATAAGAACCATAATGTCACAAAGACATAAACATTGAGCATACATACGCACCATTAGGCCTGGGCAAAAAAACCGGACCCGATACCCGGACCGAAAAACCGGGTCGGGGCGGGTTAGGGTATTAGGAAATTACCTCATTGGGTAGAGTTTTAGTCTACCAGTGGGTATCGGTTCGGGTCGGAGAATACCCATTACCCATTTAGGGTACCCATAAACCCGAAGCTTTTAGACATGTGTTTATATATGTATATAGATATATAGTTATATAGCCCTAGCTTTTGAGTATTGACGATTGAGTTTCCTAATTTCCTTCTAGAATCCTTATTCCCTTAATAATCTCTGCTTAAAATCCCCTTTTGAGTCTCATTATCGAAATTGGAAACCCTCGTCGCGACACTCTCGGCGACCTTACCGTCACCGAACATTCTGATATCATGTGATTTTGGATTAGATTTACTCTTTAACACTTAAGACTTAAGTAGTCATCTTTGTGATTTTTGATTGAATTTAGTCTTTAGATGTTATGTTTGATGTTCTGTACTCTTTATTTGATCATTTGAGCATGTACAATGATTTAAAACTTCGGGTATTGGAGCCATATTTCGGGTTATGGGTAATTTTACCCATTTAGACCCGAACCCAATGGGACCCAAATTTTTTGGGTTTTTTTTTCGGTTCTCATGCTTATTACCCAAACCGACCCAAACCCGACGATACCCGAACCGGACCGGAACCGAATCTTTAGAAATACCCGAATGGGCCATAAATTCATTATCCATTCAACCCGAATCCGAACGGGTTATATCCAAACCCTAACGGGTTACCCATATGCCCAGGCCTACGCACCATCTTGTCCAGAAAAGATAATCCAAAGCCGATGATCAAAGAGATGTAAATTCGTTCTATGAGCTCCATAATCATTCTGATACGAAGCCCTCAGTTTATCTCCAAAACGATAGAATTCATTTTCGATATCTTTGGTTTCAACGAAGAGGAGACTCTGCAAAGCAAAAGAGAGATACTGATTATTGCACACCAGGTGTTTGTTAATATGCTTCAGAGAACAATGAATGTCGTTTAGAAAAAAAAGAAAGTGATGTGGAAAATGAAGAATTCTTATTGGCTGAGAAATCTGAGCTGTATTAATCAAAATGTTTTCATTGGATGATGATTTTAATGAGGTATCAACGTGAGAACAACCCAAAATGCTGAGGTGTCCGACATGGAGAGATTCGAAAAAGTGTAATTATTTATAGCTTCTCGATAGATTTTTAAAATTTTCAGTTATGTTTTACTATTGTGATTGTTAGAAGAAGGCTCTAATCATGACGGGATAAAACGATACCTATGAACACAACCAAAGTAAAACATTTAATATTTTTAATTCATACATTTTTTATATTTGGAGATTTTTTAAAAATAATTTAACACTATGTCTTTTTTTTTTTTTACGGCAATTTAACACTATGTCTTACAATATTTTTTCAAACCATTATTAATTCATATTTTTTAATATTCAAACCATTAATACAACAGACTCCAAAATTAATTTTAAGCTTTCGACACTTATATTTGCATTGTTTTCAACACTATAAACTTTAATTTTTGTTTCTACTCTATTTCACAATTGAATCCTTTTTACAAAATATAATTCACACATTTTCAAATTTTTGTTATAGAAGAAAATATTTTGAAACTAAAATTATTTAGAAAATTAATAAAAAAAAATATTTTATACACAAAACCAGTTTGTGAGCAAAACAAAAAAAGAGACAAAAACCATCCAAAAAATTTAAAAAAAAACGAAAAAACAACAAAATTAGATTATTATATACTCCCTCTAATTCTAAATAATAGATTTTCTAGAAAAAAAATTGTTTCAAAAGATATTGTTTTAGCCTTTTAGGTTTTCTATGCAATATTCATTAGTTATTATTGATGAATTGTAAACTTCAAGAAAAAATAATTGAATATCATTGGTTTAGAATTATAGAAAATTGTAAATCATAAAAAATGATACATTTCTAATCAAGTTTTAATATGTTTTCTTAATATGTGTAAAAACTCTAAAAAATCAATTATCTTGAAACAGAGGGAGTAGTATTTTTCTTAGAAATTTTTGGGATTTTCTTAAAATCACCTGTTATTCAAATTGTGATTTTAAAATCTCTTTCCAAATCCTATGTTATTCAATGAAAGATTTAGAAAAACCATATCAAATCCACTGTTATTCAAACTTAACAATTTTTTTTCTAAAAAATAATGAAAAGTTATTTTGAGAGACTTTAGATACATTTTTAGTTAAGAAATTTGAATGAAAAAGTCACACCTCTACAGGTGGGATTTGGAAGGATTTTAAAAAAAAAAATGTTCACACAAAAAACTGAAGAGATAGATTTACCGACTTACACCGTCATCCCTTACGTTAAGAAATAAACATGGTTTCAATGGATTCTCCTTTCAATTAGTCTGTTTATTATTAGAGAGAATTTGGGTTTGCATATTATTAAACAAAAGTTTTCTTGACCTCAATTAAACATCAGTTTAAAATTTGGGGATAAACTGAACCAATTAACTCTGTTTACAAAATCTTTCATTTTCCAACTAATTATAAAATTGAAGACTGCTATCAATCCTGCAAAACAACAACCCTCGAAGGCTTGCCACAACAAATATGCTTTGGCTATACTAACGATCGTTTTGTGACAATGATTGATATCTCAGTTATAAGTTAAGACTGGAGCTAAGACAAATATACTAGCATATTCTCTTAACATAGTTCGTGTTCGTTCCAATTTTTGTTTTGAAATCCAATTTTCCGGTTTTTTTTTAATATAAAAATCACCCCAAATTATTTCTTTAAATCTCACCATATCACAAACTGTTTTTCCTTATTCTTCATTAACAATTCCAGTATAAAATCCTTAAAACTCACTAAAATCTCCCCAAATCCAAAATTTCCTAAATTTCATTAAATCTCTCCAAATCTTTAGTCCAATACACCCCCTAAGATAAGATATTTTGCGTAAATGATAAAGGTAAGAAATTTGGTAGTCCAAAGACGTTGTGACACCTGAAAAGCTGACACTCTCTAAAAAAATTTAGGGTTTACACATTTTCTTCTGTATACACATATATATAGCTAAACATATCAAGTTCTATAGCCATCATGGAAAGACACGAACGCAGCCGTCTAAAAAGTTCAACGACTTCTCAGATCCATTGTTGAAGATCGATGAAGCAGAATCCAAAGGCGAGAATGGTGAAAATGGTGATCTCATTTTACTAGCACATGTACAAGAAGAAGGAATCTGATTCAGGCAAGACAGTTTTAATTTTTGATCAAATATCAGATATACACTTGTCTTAAACCATTTACGTTCTATTGATTTAGTTGTTAGCTAAATGTAGACCAAGCAAGCAAACAAAAACTAAAAGAATTCTCACATGGTTAGGAAAAAATGATACAAATTTCAATATAATCGGTTGGTTTTTATTCTTGTTTTATATGTTTTTTTTTTTATTCTTAAAAGATATGTTATAAATTATTCTGTAGATCTGTGATCAAAGTGGACAGAAACTACGAGCTTAGTCGGGAAAAAGTGATAGAAGCGATACACTGTGTCAACGGTACCTCTTCTTTTGTTTTGTTTTTCTGTTGACTTGAGAGTTTTAATGAGCATAACATCGGTCGATATATGGTTAGCGAAATTAACAGTACAGATTCGATTTACTCGGTTGATTTTTATTCCTTTATTTTTTAATATATGGTTAGCTGAATCACGAGTTTTGTTTGAAACTAACCAGTTGAAGCCGCTTGGAGATGTGCTTGAACGTAAGGGCCTTTTGACACAAAGGTAATTCCTTGCTATAACTTTTTTGTTTGCTACTGTTTTTTTAGGAAAGGGACAAACATATACACTGATTGTTGTTAATTTGTTGCATGGGTTTAGAATACACAAGAGTTTAAGTCGGGTGAAGAGTATTGGACGTTAGAAAGAAAGCTTTTGCTATAAAGCTTTCAATCAAACATTAGAAACAAGAGTCGGGTAATTGGTTTCGTTTATTGTAATCAAACAATATGTGCTGTTTGGTTTTTTGCAATACATTTGCTCATATGGTTTCCTCTTTATCTTTATAGATTTGTCTCAAAGATGTGATGAGAGCAATTCATTTGAAGTCCTTTACAGGGTGTTGAATCTTCTACTATAGAAGGTACATTCATTTTGTTTTGTTTTTCTTAATTTTTTTAAATAAAGATATATATCAGATATAGTTGTCTGAAACCATTTAACTTTTATTGATTTCGTTATTGAAGCAAACAAAAGTTAAAAGAATTCCCTCCCCAATGGATTACGATGTTAGCCAAACGATACAGAATTCGATTTGATCCATTAACTTTTGTTCCTGTTTCATATATATATATATTTCTTAATATAAATGTTTTTAATTACTCTGCAGAGCTGTGTGATGAATGTAGACACGAACCTACTAGCTATGTTGGGAAAAGGTGACAGAAGTGATGCATTGTGTGAACAGTATGTCTTCGTTTGTCTTGTTTTTTTGTTGATATAATACTTTTAATTAATTAGCATAACATCTGTCAATTTGGTTAGATAGAAATTGATTAGATAAAATTTTATGTCTTTCAAATAGCACACCCAACTCTAGGAGCAAAGGACCTATTCTATATATAAATGGGATGAGACATAAAAATATTACGAAGGTGAGGAATGTCAGAAATTGAGCTTCCAAACTCTTAAGAAGAACATGTCAACTCCTTATTATTTCTATGTCCATGTCCCTACGTTGAGGATAGAAATTTTCATCAACCAATTAGGAGATGAAGAAGATGATGATGGGAACTAAAAGGAGTAGTTCTCCGTTATAGTGACCAATGCATAAGTCGAATCATCTGGGTTCTTTTGTTCTGAAATCTTACGA